AAGTTTAGCCAACTAGCTAACGAGCTAGCTAAATTAGCGAAATGAATGAGTTGATTTTCCACTCCTATAGCCATAATCACATAGCTACATACGTAATTATAGATATAGCTCTGTGACACAAAATACGTAGCTAGCTATGTGTATTTCATCAAACGGAATACTTACTAGTTAACTATACTTGCTAGCTAAGCATGCCATGTTATTGTGTACCTTGGAAGTAAGCTACTTTGTCACATTGTTCAATATACATTTTTTACATTTTAGTCATTTAGCAGACGCTCTTATCCAGAGCGATTTACAGTTAGTGAGTGCATACATGTTTTTTTCTTCAATGTAACTAGCTACGTCTATAAAGTTGTTTCTAGGGAATCGGGACATGTCTTTGTGTTGATTTCAAGCTTCAGTGGTATAATGGTTGTGATTATGGGTCAAGTACCATAACAAACTTTGAATAATGTGTTTTAAGAAGATCCACAAGATGAAAGTCAATAGATTATGTATTCAACCCCATTGCTGAGTTGTTGCCACCCAGTTTAATCCAGTATTCAGGCATTTTGATTTGTCATCCTGCAGTAATGATGATGTCAGACCTCAGGGATAGTGTGGGTGTCTGGTGTCAGATAAATGATCAGCCATTTGGCAATTAGGCAATATTCTCTTGAGGATCACTTTGGTTGGGGATGGGGAGACATCTCATGCTTAGTTATCTAAACCATCCTTTGTCTTCCCCTTCACTTTCACCCTGTAGCCAGAGCATACCATGTCAGAATTGTCTCAACATGATTTAGTATTTTCTCAATCTGTTCAATGTTGCTATACTTTTTGCTAAACTTCTCAGCTTAATCTCAACAACATTCAGTTTTTCTGCCCAATGTTTATTGAATTGAGGCACTCTCAACCTGTTACCCATGGTGACTGTCAGACCCTAAAGCCAGACACTGTTTGTTGTTGCTTCCTGACCCTGCTACAGGACAGCCAGGCAGGGAAATACTGAGGTGTGAAGTGATGTTATCAGTCGCTGGACTCTGGGATCTGTGCACCTTGTTTCCTGTCGTTAAGGTTATTGCATTGCTGTCATCGCTCACATGGCATTACAGCCTCACGGCAACAGAAACAAGCAGATTATTTAGTCAGGCTGTGTCCAGAGAGCTTGCTTACCTACTTATAACCTACAGGCATCTTCTAGCATCTGCTACATTTTGTTATCCTTGTATGCCCTGCCGTCTCACTTCATCATCACACATACAAAGCCCCCCCCCCCCCCCCCCGACCGAGAGTCGTCTGTTCTTTCGACCAATCGATTGGTTGAAACTTTAAAAAGTATTTTTCCATATGTAGACACACCCTATGTTTTGAATAAAATCAACTAGATGTAGGCTACTGAGCTAGTCTGATGCTTTAAGCACTGCGATTTAAAAAATGAAGACCCAAATTACTAAAGAGGGAGCCAGAGATCAATATAGCAAAAATGCCTGTCCCTGACCTGACCCCCCTCCCCCCCGCTGCTGCTGGCCTTTGCAGATTCTGCCGTTACGCTCCTGAAGTTGTCGGTAATAGGCTACATCAGCGGTCGGCAACCTTTTCCATTTGAAGTGCCAAGTTATCGTACCATTCCTACTGATCTGCGTGCCCGTTATGATTTTCATATGCACATTTTCTTGGAACAGTTTTAATTTCATTTATAATAGTCTTCCTAGCTCAAAATCAATGTCATGTGGTTAATCAAAATTCTATCTAAATGAAAATGATACAGATCTAAAAGTAACTTCTGTTGCCATGGCCAATATGTAAAAATTTCCAACAAATAAAAAGCATTGCAGCCCGCAGGTAGAAAATATCCTGATTTTAAAAATAAATATCCTATAAATCACCTTGGCTACACATGGCCTGTCTTCAAGGAACATTGCATGAACTGTTAATGCCAGTGAGCTCCAGACAGACACAGCTGTAGGCTGTCTGTGCACCGGATAGTAAGCAATAAGGCCGGCCTATTTTATGACGTTTTCCCCCCGTTTTCTAATGCTGAGTGGTTATCGAAAGGGAGAGAGCTGGAAAGATTTTTCAAATAGGCTACATTGAGGAACTGTTGTCATTCTCAATGGATGTAAAAAAAAAAAAACATACTTAGTTTACTTGCTGTTTTGAGGCGAAGAACAAATTACTTTGAGAAGCTCCACAGTGATGGTGAGTTAAGACAATCCAGAAATACGATCTGATCCTCAAATGGCCACATTTTATAGGCCTACATCTGCGCGCAGGCCAGGTAGCCTATAGGCCTACTTCTATGCGTAATCAGGTGCGTGTCCTTACTCAAGATTGACAGGAGCGCTCCGAACAAAAGAGGACTAAATTGACAACTCGTAAATGGATGAAATAGACCAAAACTTTTTTTCTCAAAAGTGTAGCCTGGGTTGTGCGCTCCGCAAACAACTTGTCCACTCCTACAATGACAACGGTCAGACTGTAATCATTATTTATTGAATGCATTAACAGAAATGACCTTAACCAAACAAACATTGTAGATGATAAATGATGGTAATTTAAGGGTAAATGCACTACAGGTGATACTGGTGTGCCTCCACTCAGACAGGTGTGAATCACAGGCGTCTTGTGTGCCATAAATTATAAACTGGGTGGTTCGAGCCCTGAATGCTGATTTGGCTGACAGCCGTGGTATATCAGACCGTATACCACGGGTATGACAAAACATTTATTTTTATTGCTCTAATTACATTGGTAACCAGTTTATAATAGCAATAAGGCACCTCAGGGGTTTGTGGTATATGGCCAATATACAACGGGTAAGGGCTGTGTCCAGGTACTGCACATTGCGTCTTGTCTAAGAACAGTCCTTAGCCGTGGTATATTGGACATATACCACACCCCCTCTTACCTTATTGCTTAACTATTTGCAGATGCTCGACTACTTTCTAAAACTAGCCGCCGAAATTGTCGCTACCCCTATTACTAGTCTGTTCAACCTCTCTTTCATAACGTCTGAGATCCCCAGAGATTGGAAAGCTGCCGCGGTCATCCCCCTCTTCAAAGGGGGTGACACTCTAGATCCAAACTGCTACAGACCTATATCCATCCTGCCCTGCCTTTCGAAAGTATTCGAAAGCCAAGTTAACAAACAGATCATCGACCATTTCGAATACCACCGTACCTTCTCCGCTATGCAATCCGGTTTCCGAGCTGGTCACGGGTGCACTTCAGCCACGCTCAAGGTCCTAAACGATATTATAACAGCGATTGATAATAGACAGTACTGTGCAGCCGTCTTCATCGACCTGGCCAAGGCTTTCGACTCTGTCAACCACCGCATTCTTATTGGCAGACTAAATAGCCTTGGTTTCTCAAATGACTGCCTCGCCTGGTTCACCAACTACTTCTCAGATAGAGTTCAGTGTGTCAAATCGGAGGGCCTGTTGTCTGGACCTATGGCAGTCTCTATGGGGGTGCCACAGGGTTCAATTCTTGGGCCGACACTTTTCTCCGTGTATATCAATGATGTCGCTCTTGCTGCTGGTGACTCTCAGATCCACCTCTACGCAGACGACACCATTTTGTATAAATCTGGCCCTTCATTGGACACTGTGTTAACAAACCTCCAAACGAGCTTCAATTCCATACAACACTCGTTCAGTAGCCTCCAACTGCTCTTAAACACTAGTAAAACTAAATGCATGCTTTTCAATCGAACGCTGCTGGCACCCGCCCACCCGACTAGAATCACCACTCTCGACGGGTCTGACCTAGACCTAGAGTATGTGGACAACTACAAATACCTAGGTGTCTGGTTAGACTGTAAACTCAACTTCCAGACTCACATAAAGAATCTCCAATCCAAAGTTAAATCTAGAATCGGCTTCCTATTTCGCAATAAAGCCTCCTTCACTCATGCTGCCAAACATGCCCTCGTAAAACTGACTATCCTACCGATCCTTGACTTCGGCGATGTAATTTACAAAATAGCCTCCAACACTCTACTCAGCAAATTGGATGTAGTCTATCAAAGTGCCATCCGTTTTGTCTCCAAAGCCCCATACACTACCCACCACTGTGACCTGTACGCTCTTGTTGGCTGGTCCTCACTACATGTTCGTCGTCAAACCCACTGGCTCCAGGCCATCTATAAATCACTGCTAGGCAAATCCCCGCCTTATCTTAGCTCATTGGTCACCATAGCAGCACCCACCCGTAGTCTGCGCTCCAGCAGGTATATCTCACTGGTCATTCCCAAAGCCAACACCTCCTTTGGCCGCCATTCCTTCCAGTTCTCTGCTGCCAATGACTGGAACGAATTGCAAAAATCTCTGAAGCTGGAGACTCTTATCTCCCTCAATAACTTTAAGCATCAGTTGTCAGAGCACCTTACCGATCACTGCACCTGTACTCAGCCCATCTGAAATTAGCCCACCCAACTACCTCATCCCTATATTGTTATTTATTTTGCTCTTTTGCACCCCAGTATCTCTATTTGCACATAATCTCTTGCACATCTAGCATTCCAGTGTTAATACTATTGTAATTATTCTGCACTATAGCCTATTTATTGCCTTACCTCCATAACTTGCTACATTTGCACACACTGTATATATATTTTCTGTTGTATTTCTGACTTTATGTTTTTTACCCCATATGTAACTCTGTGTTGTTTTTATTGCACTACTTTGCTTTATCTTGGCCAGGTCGCAGTTGTAAATGAGAACCTGTTCTCAACTGGCTTACCTGGTTAAATAAAGGTAAAATAAAATAAAAAAATCTCGATCTACCAACTCTTCGGTCCTTAAAAAGCTGCTTAATGTGAAATATTGTCTGCTATAGCTTGGGAAATAAGTAAATGACAAGAGGATGACAACATACATTAGGGCTGTTTTTGTTTCCTTGCCACGATACTAAGGAGTATGGTGATACTGGTATCGTCCTAGATGTCACCTAACCTGATGATTCTGTTGTGCAAAATATTTCTAACACAGCTTCTCTTCTTCTTTCCCCAGGTTCCACACGAAACCTTTACCCAGGCTCTGGCCACCTCATCATATGGTATGGACTAAACCAGAGACTCATTGCTCGTGAGTGAGAGAGACAGAACGAGAGAGAGATAATAGGTCCTTTCCTAGTTGTATCTGCCTATTGACGACCTACATTTGTAAATCCTCTGGGCTGTTGTGTCCCAGAGGCCTGATCTCAGCTGAACTTGTTCCCCAAACTGCACTCCCCTCAGTGGGGGTTGGTTGTGACCCAGCTCCAGGGTACATCCCACCTCACGGCAGGCTTTCCTTTCCTGAGCGGCTGCGTCCTGCCTGCGTCCTGCCTCTATTTCCTGTCCTTGGTGTGCAAGGCTAAGCCTCCTCTCTCCACTCCCCTACCACCTCCCCACACACACACTCTCCCTCCCTGTTATACGCGATCCAAGAAGAAGAGGACTCCTCAATCCCCTAACTTCCTGGTACATTTCTCCCTCTCACCCTGGACAGCAGCACCATGACCTCCATGTCCAGCCTGTTCTCCTTCACCAGTCCAGCTGTGAAGCGTCTGCTGGGGTGGAAGCAGGGGGACGAGGAGGAGAAATGGGCTGAGAAGGCTGTTGACGCCCTGGTCAAGAAACTGAAGAAGAAGAAGGGAGCCATGGAGGACCTGGAGAAAGCCCTCAGCAGCCCAGGACAGCCCAGTGAGTGACCCTGTCTGTAGTGTGCGTGCGGCGTCATACTTGGTCAAGTCCAGGCCAGGTGTGTGTGTGTGACTGTCTCTCTGGATCAGAGAGTCTGCTAGATGGCTAAGATATAAAGTACCAGTCAAAAGTTTGGACATACCTACTCATTCAAGGGTTTTTCCTTTATTTTTACTATTTTCAATGTTGTAGAATAATAGTGACGACATCAAAACTATGAAATAACACATATGGAATCATGTAGTAACCAAAAAAGTGTTAAACAAATCAAAATATATTTGAGATTCTTCAAAGTAGCCACCCTTTGCCTTGATGACAGCTTTGCACACTCTTGGCATTCTCTCAACCAGCTTCATGAGGAATGCTTTTCCAACAGTCTTGAAGGAGTTCCCACATATGCTGAGCACTTGTTGGCTACTTTTCCTTCACTCTGTGGTCCAACTCATCCCAAACCATCTCAATTGGGTTGAGGTCAGGGGATTGTGGAGGCCAGGTCATCTGATGCAGCACTCCATCACTCTCCTTCTTGGTCAAATAGCCCTTACACAGCCTGGAGGTGTGTTGGGTCATTGTCCTGTTGAAAAACAAATTATAGTCCCACTAAGCGCAAACCAGATGGGATGGCGTATCGCTTCAGAATGCTGTGGTAGCCATGCTGGTTAAGTGTGCCTTGAATTTTAAATAAATCAATGACAGTGTCTACAGCAAAGCACCCCCACACCATAACACCTCCTCCTCCATGCTTTATGGTGGGAACTACACATGCAGAGATCATCCGTTCACCCACACTGTGTCTCACAAAGACACAGTGGTTTGAACCAAAAATCTCAAATTTGGACTCCAGACCAAAGGACACATTTCCACCGGTCTAATGTTCATTGGTCGTGTTTCTTGGCCCAAGCAGGTCTCTTCTTCTTATTGGTGTCCTTTAGTAGTGGTTTCTTTGCAGCAATTCGACCATGAAGGCCTGATTCATGCAGTCCCCTCTGTACAGTTGATGTTGAGATGTGTCTGTGACTTGAACTCTGTGAAGCATTTATTTGGGCTGCGATTTCTGAGGCTGGAAACTCTAATGAACTTATCCTCTGCAGCAGAGGTAACTCTGGGTCTTCCATTCCTGTGGCGGTCCTCATGAGAGGTGGTTGATGGTTTTTGCGACTGCACCTCCATGTCTTAAAGTAATGATGGACTGTTGTTTCTCTTTGCTTATTTGAGCTGTTCTTGCCATAATATGGACTTGGTCTTTTACCAAATAGGGCTAACTTCTGTATACCCCCCCCCCCCCCACCTTGTCACAACACAACTGATTGGCTCAAACGCATTAAGAAGGAAATAAATTCCACAAATTAACTTTTAAGAAGGCACACCTGTTAATTGAAATGCATTCCAGTTGACTACCTTATGAAGCTGGTTGAGAGAATGCCAAGAGTGTGCAATGCTGTCATCAAGGCAAAGGGTGGCTATTTGAAGAATCTCAAATATAAAATATATTTTGATTTGTTTAACCCTATCTTGGTTACTACATGATTCCATATGTGTTATTTCATAGTTTTGATCTCTTCACTATTATTCTGCAATGTCAATTAAACAATAAATAAAGATAAACCCTTTTGACTGGTAGTGTGTGTATATATATATATATATAGATATGTATCATCATACTTGGTCCAGATATTGCCTAACCCCTCTCTCTATCTGCCCTGCCAGGTAAGTGTGTGACCATTCCTCGGTCTCTGGACGGTCGTCTCCAGGTGTCCCACAGGAAGGGTCTCCCCCACGTTATCTACTGCAGGGTGTGGCGCTGGCCCGACCTGCAGTCTCACCATGAGCTCAAGCCCCTGGAGATGTGTGAATACCCCTTCGGCTCCAAACAGAAGGAGGTCTGCATTAACCCCTACCACTACAAGAGGGTAGAGAGCCCAGGTATGTAACGTGTTCATTCCGACTACAGTATTGACTCGATCTAAGGCATTGCCGGACCCAGCCTATACATTTGTGGCTGTTGTGCACGTCCTTCTACAAGAAATGTATATGACACAGTAAGGCTGAGCTGACTTAAGTTACCATTTAGCCAAGTGAGGGAGAGTACTGCATCCTTGACCATTTAGCCAAGTGAGGGAGAGTACTGCATCCTTGACCATTTAGCCAAGTGAGGGAGAGTACTGCATCCTTGACCATTTAGCCAAGTGAGGGAGAGTACTGCATCCTTGACCATTTAGCCAAGTGAGGGAGAGTACTGCATCCTTGACCATTTAGCCAAGTGAGGGAGAGTACTGCATCCTTGACCATTTAGCCAAGTGAGGGAGAGTACTGCATCCTTGACCATTTAGCCAAGTGAGGGAGAGTACTGCATCCTTGACCATTTAGCCAAGTGAGGGAGAGTACTGCATCCTTGACCATTTAGCCAAGTGAGGGAGAGTACTGCATCCTTGACCATTTAGCCAAGTGAGGGAGAGTACTGCATCCTTGACCATTTAGCCAAGTGAGGGAGAGTACTGCGTCCTTGACCATTTAGCCAAGTGAGGGAGAGTACTGCATCCTTGACCATTTAGCCAAGTGAGGGAGAGTACTGCATCCTTGACCATTTAGCCAAGTGAGGGAGAGTACTGCATCCTTGACCATTTAGCCAAGTGAGGGAGAGTACTGCATCCTTGACCATTTAGCCAAGTGAGGGAGAGTACTGCATCCTTGACCATTTAGCCAAGTGAGGGAGAGTACTGCATCCTTGACTATTCATACTATATAGATTTAGAGTTTCCAAGAAATATGCCTCAAGGTGATTTCACCAAAACAATATGGGAAATTCTGGCTGCTTCCCTGGAGATAGTTGTCTTGTCTCCTCTGAGTGACGTGATATCTGCCCTTGAATTGGTTAATACAGAGCCGTCAGTCAGGGAGGAAGAGGAGGATAGGGGGAGGAGCAGAGTACAGGTCAAGGACTTTCAAAATGACCTGATCAATAGGATCTGCATCATATAGCACGTTTTTAGAATGTAGTGGGAAAAAACAACTGGTATTGAAAGCACTTTCGTTAAAATGTAAAGGCTAGAGGAAATCCTTGCAATTGACATGCACAACAGCCACAAATGACAACAGAGGTCATGCAGATGAGAAGATTCCTTCATTAATGTGTAGTACCTATGTTTTCACTGGTTTCAGATTAAATACTGTACAGTGTCCCAATGTTTCTTTTAAAGGCTCTTCAAATCCAATGTATATTTATTTAATAATCTCTTCTCCACCAGTTCTCCCTCCGGTGTTGGTGCCTCGCCACAGTGAGTTCAACCCACAACACAGTCTCCTGGTCCAGTTTAGGAACATGACTCACAACGAGCCCCACATGCCCCTGAACGCCACCTTCCCAGAGTCCTTCCAGCAGCACAGTGGGGGCAGCGGTACCTCCTTCCCCATCTCCCCCAACTCCCCCTACCCCCCCTCCCCAGCCTCCAGCGGAGGGGTGGGCACCTACCCCAACTCTCCTGCCAGCTCCGGACCCTCCAGCCCCTTCCAGCTTCCAGGTAGATGTCAGTATACACTTCTATCATATATCATGCACCTATGTGTTTATTGGTAGTCAGTTACCATGGCTGCTATTACAATATCATATACTGTTAGCCTATGTCATATATTCCCACTGGGTTTTCACATTTGTACACTTCTGGTCACACACTGCCTTTGGCCTCTATGTGAGAATGTAAAAGGGAAGTAACATTGCCATTAAAAGAAAAGTGTTTTCCTGATGAAAAATGGGATTCGAAATTAGTGGAGGACAATTTGGTTTGATTTCTAACTATATGGAATGATAGTCCATGATACAAACCAGGATTTTCTGACAGCCAGGGGGGACAATCAAAATGCCAACTAAAGAGTGTACCAAAGCCCTGCATCAGGGTGACTGGTGAGTGCCAGTCAGTGTGCCCATCGCTGGGCACAGCATAGGCCTGGCCTGGCCTCCGGCTCCTATTCTGGTGGATATATCCCCAGTCAGTGTGCCCATCGCTGGGCACAGCATAGGCCTGGCCTGGCCTCCGGCTCCTATTCTGGTGGATATATCCCCAGCCAGTGTGCCCATCGCTGGGCACAGCATAGGCCTGGCCTGGCCACCGGCTCCTATTCTGGTGGATATATCCCCAGTCAGTGTGCCCATCGCTGGGCACAGCATAGGCCTGGCCTGGCCTCCGGCTCCTATTCTGGTGGATATATCCCCAGCCAGTGTGCCCATCGCTAGCACCAGCATAGGCCTGGCCTGGCCACCGGCTCCTATTCTGGTGGATATATCCCCAGCCAGTGTACCCATCGCTGGGCACAGCAATAGGCCGGGCCTGGCCACCGGCTCCTATTCTGGTGGATATATCCCCAGCCAGTGTAACCCATCGCTGGGTACAGCATAGGCCTGGCCTGGCCTCCGGCTCCTATTCTGGTGAATATATCCCCCAGCCAGTGTACCCATCGCTGGGTACAGCATAGGCCTTGGCCTGGCCTCCGGCTCCTATTCTGGTGGATAGATCCCCAGCCAGTGTACCCATCGCTGGGTACAGCATAGGCCTGGCCTGGCCTCCCGGCTCCTATTCTGGTGGATGATCCCCAGTCAGTGTACCCATCGCTGGGTACAGCATAGGCCTGGCCTGGCCTCCGGCTCCTATTCTTGGTGGATATATCCCCAGGCCAGTGTACCCATCGCTGGGTACAGCAAGGCCTGGCCTGGCCTCCGGCTCCTATTCTGGTGGATATATCCCCAGTCAGTGTACCCATCGCTGGGTACAGCATAGGCCTGGCCCTTGGCCTCCGGCTCCTATTCTGGTGGATATATCCCCAGCCAGTGTACCCATCGCTGGGTAACAGCATAGGCTGGCCTGGCCTCCGCTCCTATTCTGGTGGATATATCCCCAGTCAGTGTACCCATCGCTGGGTACAGCATAGGCCTGGCCTGGCCTCCGGCTCCTATTTATGGTGGATATATCCCCAGTCAGTGTAACCCATCGCTGGGTACAGCATAGGCCCTGGCCTGGCCCTCCGGCTCCTATTCTGGTGGAATATATCCCCAGTCAGTGTACCCATCGCTGGGTACAGCATAGGCCTGGCCTGGCCTCCGGCTCCTATTCTGGTGGATATATCCCCAGTCAGTGTACCCATCGCTGGGTACAGCATAGGCCTGGCCTGGCCTCCGGCTCCTATTCTGGTGGATATATCCCCAGTCAGTGTACCCATCGCTGGGTACAGCATAGGCCTGGCCTGGCCTCCGGCTCCTATTCTGGTGGATATATCCCCAGTCAGTGTACCCATCGCTGGGTACAGCATAGGCCTGGCCTGGCCTCCGGCTCCTATTTCTGGTGGATATATCCCCAGCCAGTGTACCCATCGCTGGGCACAGCATAGGCCTGGCCTGGCCTCCGGCTCCTATTCTGGTGGATATATCCCCAGCCAGTGTACCCATCGCTGGGCACAGCATAGGCCCTGGCCTGGCCTGGCCTCCGGCTCCTATTCTGGTGGATATATCCCCAGCCAGTGTACCCATCGCTGGGCACAGCATAGGCCTGGCCTGGCCTGGCCTCCGGCTCCTATTCTGGTGGATATATCCCCAGCCAGTGTACCCATCGCTGGGCACAGCATAGGCCTGGCCTGGCCTGGCCTCCGGCTCCTATTCTGGTGGATATATCCCCAGCCAGTGTACCCATCGCTGGGCACAGCATAGGCCTGGCCTGGCCTGGCCTCCGGCTCCTATTCTGGTGGATATATCCCCAGCCAGTGTACCCATCGCTGGGCACAGCATAGGCCTGGCCTGGCCTGGCCTCCGGCTCCTATTCTGGTGGATATATCCCCAGCCAGTGTACCCATCGCTGGGCACAGCATAGGCCTGGCCTGGCCTGGCCTCCGGCTCCTATTCTGGTGGATATATCCCCAGCCAGTGTACCCATCGCTGGGCACAGCATAGGCCTGGCCTGGCCTGGCCTCCGGCTCCTATTCTGGTGGATATATCCCCAGCCAGTGTACCCATCGCTGGGCACAGCATAGGCCTGGCCTGGCCTGGCCTCCGGCTCCTATTCTGGTGGATATATCCCCAGCCAGTGTACCCATCGCTGGGCACAGCATAGGCCTGGCCTGGCCTGGCCTCCGGCTCCTATTCTGGTGGATATATCCCCAGCCAGTGTACCCATCGCTGGGCACAGCATAGGCCTGGCCTGGCCTGGCCTCCGGCTCCTATTCTGGTGGATATATCCCCAGCCAGTGTACCCATCGCTGGGCACAGCATAGGCCTGGCCTGGCCTGGCCCTCCGGCTCCTATTCTGGTGGATATATCCCCAGCCAGTGTACCCATCGCTGGGCACAGCATAGGCCTGGCCTGGCCTGGCCTCCGGCTCCTATTCTGGTGGATATATCCCCAGCCAGTGTACCCATCGCTGGGCACAGCATAGGCCTGGCCTGGCCTGGCCTCCGGCTCCTATTCTGGTGGATATATCCCCAGCCAGTGTACCCATCGCTGGGCACAGCATAGGCCTGGCCTGGCCTGGCCTCCGGCTCCTATTCTGGTGGATATATCCCCAGCCAGTGTACCCATCGCTGGGCACAGCATAGGCCTGGCCTGGCCTGGCCTCCGGCTCCTATTCTGGTGGATATATCCCCAGCCAGTGTACCCATCGCTGGGCACAGCATAGGCCTGGCCTGGCCTGGCCTCCGGCTCCTATTCTGGTGGATATATCCCCAGCCAGTGTACCCATCGCTGGGCACAGCATAGGCCTGGCCTGGCCTCCGGCTCCTATTCTGGTGGATATATCCCCAGCCAGTGTACCCATCGCTGGGCACAGCATAGGCCTGGCCTGGCCACCGGCTCCTATTCTGGTGGATATATCCCCAGCCAGTGTACCCATCGCTGGGCACAGCATAGGCCTGGCCTGGCCACCGGCTCCTATTCTGGTGGATATATCCCCAGCCAGTGTACCCATCGCTGGGCACAGCATAGGCCTGGCCTGGCCACCGGCTCCTATTCTGGTGGATATATCCCCAGCCAGTGTACCCATCGCTGGGCACAGCATAGGCCTGGCCTGGCCACCGGCTCCTATTCTGGTGGATATATCCCCAGCCAGTGTACCCATCGCTGGGCACAGCATAGGCCTGGCCTGGCCACCGGCTCCTATTCTGGTGAATAGATCCCCAGCCAGTGAGGTTTGCTGATGCACAGATCCACAACAGATCCACAACAGATCCACAACAGATTCATGGGCTGCTGTAGTCAGCCAGGCATAATGGCAGCAGGGAAAAGAGGCTCAAGACTTTTGTCTTTTTTAATTGTGCTGAATTGCCCCCAGGCTTGAAACACTGTAGTGCTAGTGCTATCACTTCTATGTGGTCTATCTTGGTGTAACCGGAGGAAAGCCGAGTTATTATTCAGAAATAGGGATACATCTCCAGAGAAATCCCTCTAAGCAAGGTAGTAACCTGTAAATGTTTGGTCTGTAGGAAGACCAGTCTTCTTCATAAAAAAAAAAACATTACCAACTGTCCCCACCCACACCCCACTTGAAATGTTTCTCCATTTCTCTGTAATACAACACGTATAGGACTGGCCATAGATTAGTGTTCCATTTGATGGATGTGTGTGAAACCCTACACCTGTTTCCGGGTAGAGAAAGATCCTGTGGTGGTGGAGGGGTTTTAACTCCTCTTGGGAGTTGTGTATGTGTCCATCCGCTGTGAGTGTGTGTGTGTGTGTCCATCCGCTGTGAGTGTGTGTGTGTGTGTGTGTGTGTGTGTGTGTGTGTGTGTCCATCCGCTGTGAGTGTGTGTGTGTGTGTGTCCATCCGCTGTGAGTGTGTGTGTGTGTGTGTGTGTGTGTCCATCCGCTGTGAGTATGTGTGTGTGTGTGTCCATCCGCTGTGAGTGTGTGTGTGTGTGTGTGTGTGTGTCCATCCGCTGTGAGTGTGTGTGTGTGTGTGTGTGTGTGTGTGTGTCCATCCGCTGTGAGTGTGTGTGTGTGTGTGTGTGTGTGTGTGTGTGTGTGTGTGTGTCCATCCGCTGTGAGTGTGTGTGTGTGTGTGTGTGTGTGTGTGTGTGTGTGTCCATCCGCTGTGAGTGTGTGTGTGTGTGTGTGTGTGTGTGTGTGTGTGTGTGTGTGTGTGTGTGTGTGTGTGTGTGTGTGTGTGTCCATCCGCTGTGAGTGTGTGTGTGTGTGTGTGTGGACAACCATTTGTCATCAGCAGCAGCAGCTGGTCTCCTAACTATCCGTCCATTGTGGTGTTTTCTCCTCCAGCTGACACCCCACCCCCGGCCTACATGCCCCCTGACGAGCAGATGGGACAGGAGGGGTCCATGGAGACCACCACCAGCAGCAGCGGGCCCAGGAACATGCCTAGTGGGGGTGAGGAGTCTGACCTTCAACTTTACACTTTATTTTACCAGGGATTATTTTTTTTCCCCCACCCTAATCAATCAGGAATTCCTGCTTTCCGACATTATCCTCCATTAATTGGAACTGATTTTTATCCTGATTGTCTACGTTGTCGTGATCACATAGCAGTCAATACTAACTGAAATCGTAACGTTATGACTATAACTACTGTTCCCTGAAGGAGGGAAACGAGGTACAACATACTATGGGGAGTTCGGATGGAGGATCTATACTGAACAAAAATATAAATGCAGCATGTAAAGGGTTGGTGCCATGTTTCATGAGCTGAAATAAAAGATCCCAGAAATGTTCCATACGCACAAAAAGCTGATTTCTCTCAAATGTTGTGCACAAATTTGTTTACATCCCTGTTAGTGAGTATTTCTCATTTGCCAAAATAATCCATCCACCTGACAGTTGTGGCATATCAAGAAGCTGATTTAAACAGCATGATCACCCTGTGCTGGGGACAATAAAAGACCACTCTAAAATGTGCAGTTTTGTCACCCAGCTGGAAAAGGGACAGACAGCTTTGAAAAACTAAATGCAGTAAAGAGGTAAATTGAACTTGACCAAAACAATGGAGTTGCCATGGAAACGCGTGGGGGACATGGACAAGTTTACAAACGTGAGACCGTATAGCCTGGATAAGCCAGACCCCTTATAGATGCAGTAAAGAGGTCTATCGAACTAGACCAAAACAATGGAATTGCCATGGAAACGCTTGGGGGAAATATCCAGAGTCTCCTCATTGCCCCCCAGCAAAACGAGCCTACATGTAGGCTATTGTTTGTGTATTTCACACTATGTTGAGGTAAAAATCGGAGTATAATGCTTGTATGGATGTCAACCCCAACACATGTTTATGTCATCGTCACCAATCAACTGCATTACAGTTAAAAATGACTGACTACCACCACAGAGGTCTGTATGCTAGCTATGCTAACCAGTTTATACGAACGGGAGTTAGCATTTAGCAGCCACTACTTCTAAACCTGAAAAGGGATAACACCTACATTAGGGGGTGTGCTGAGTAGTTGGACAAATCTAGTATCGTGACGGATATGGGCAATTTTCTGGATACGATTATGATCACTGATAATTACAAAAAAATACTCTGATCGGGGGAAAGAAAAGTCATTTTCGGGTGCCAGCATGCATCTTTCTCATGTCAGTCAGTCGTGCAAGGTTTTACGTGGTCTAAATAACTCAACTGGCTAGTTTGCCTGTCTGTAAAGAGAAGGGTGGGATGTACGTTGATCCTATTGCTCTGGTTGGGTAGAGTGAAGCTGTATTTCTCCATCCACTCGCTTCATAATTTCACCCGATCACTTTTCCTTGCATGTTTTCGGGTCTGATCATTTAGATTGCTGCTGCCTGCTACTATGATAAATCACATGGCGAGGATGTTTGCTATCAAGCGATCAATATGCATCGTATCTAATAAGCATGGGCAAGGGTAGGGAAAAAACGATGAAACGCTGATGTGCAATCTGACTGAGTGACAGCAAACTTGTCTGCCCGCTGCAAATTGAGGACACACTCTTGCACATCTAGCATTCCAGTGTTAATACTATTGTAATTATTTTGCACTATAGCCTATTTATTGCCTTACCTCCATAACTTGCTACATTTGCACACACTGTATATATATTTTCTGTTGTATTTTTGACTTTGTTTTTTACCCCATATGTAACTCTGTGTTGTTTTTATTGCACTGCTTTGCTTTATCTTGGCCAGGTCGCAGTTGTAAATGAGAACCTGTTCTCAACTGGCTTACCTGGTTAAATAAAGGTTAAATAAAAAAAATAAAAAGACCCACCCCTCCGCGTGCTGCTCCTAATCTGCAGCTGTTTTGCAGTGAGAATGTGCAGGGAGGTATTTTGCCAAAATCTATTTAGGCATATTATATTATAAGTATCATCCTATCCGACTCAACTTTCAATTTACTGATATGAGTATCGGGCATGTCTGCACACCCCTATTCTAAATGTTATGCAGCGAAAACTCGGATTTAAGTAACCACATTGTGGGCCTGTTACAACGTCTGCGTTCCATTGACTCCTTTACCGCTTCTATGGACACGGGGCTCCGGCAATGGCTGACGTAGCAAAAAAAGTGGCCATAACCAAAGTGGGGGGCACTGACGTCACCGTAATGTTTTTGTGGAGAGGCTCACCCGTCGCTCAGATCCGTGCTAAGGCCCCTCGCTCCGGGGGTTACCAGAGCCAAGCGCTCGGAGGCTGCTTCCTCATTGGAGGTGCCCGCTTCCTCCACTCCCTCCAACTCCAGGAATTGGAAGTAGAAATGTGATTGCCATAACATTTTACATTTACATTTACATTTTAGTCATTTAGCAGACGCTCTTAACCAGAGCGACTCACAGGAGCAATTAGGGTTAAGTGCCTTGCTCAAGGGCACATTAACGTCATTTAGCAGACGCTCTTAGCCAGAGCGACTCACAAATTGGTGCGTTCACCCTATAGCCAGTGGGATAACCACTTTACAATTTGGGGGGGGGGGGGGTTAGAAGGAATACTTTATCCTATCCCAGGTATTCCTTAAAGAGGTGGGGTTTCAAATGTCTCCGGAAGGTGGTGAGTGACTCCGCTGTCCTGGCGTCGTGAGGGAGCTTGTTCCACCATTGGGGTGCCAGAGCAGCGAACAGTTTTGACTGGGCTGAGCGGGAGCTATGCTTCCGCAGAGGAAGGGGAGCCAGCAGGCCAGAGGTGGATGAACGCAATGTCCTCGTTTGGGTGTAGGGACTGATCAGAGCCTGAAGGTACAGAGGTGCCGTTCCCCTCACTGCTCCATAGGCAAGCACCATGGTCTTGTAGCGGATGCGAGCTTCAACTGGAAGCCAGTGGAGTGTGCGGAGGAGGGGGGTGACGTGAGAGAACTTGGGAAGGTTGAACACCAGACGGGCTGCGGCATTCTGGATGAGTTGTAGGGGTTTAATGGCACAGGCAGGGAGCCCAGCCAACAGCGAGTTGCAGTAGTCCAGACGGGAGATGACAAGTGCCTGGACCAGGACCTGCGCCGCTTCCTGTGTAAGGCAGGGTCGCACTCTCCGAATGTTGTAGAGCATGAACCTGCAGGAGCGGGTCACCGCCTTGATGTTGGCGGAGAACGACAGGGTGTTGTCCAGGGTCACGCCTAGGCTCTTCGCACTCTGGGAGGAGGACACAGCGGAGTTGTCAACCGTGATGGCGAGATCATGGAACGGGCAGTCCTTCCCCGGGAGGAAGAGCAGCTCCGTCTTGCCAGGGTTCAGCTTGAGGTGGTGATCCGTCATCCATACTGATATGTCTGCCAGACATGCAGAGATGCGATTCGCCACCTGGTTATCAGAAGGGGGAAAGGAGAAGATTAGTTGTGTATCGTCAGCGTAGCAATGATAGGAGAGACCATGTGAGGATATGACAGAGCCAAGTGACTTGGTGTATAGGGAGAAAAGGAGAGGGCCCAGAACCGATCCCTGGGGGACACCAGTGGTGAGAGCACGTGGTGCGGAGACAGCTTCCCGCCACGCCACTTGGTAGGAGCGACCGGTCAGGTAGGACGCAATCCAGGAGTGAGCCGCGCCGGAGATGCCCATCTCGGAGAGGGTGGAGAGGAGGATCTGATGGTTCACAGTATCAAAGGCAGCAGACAGGTCTAGAAGGACAAGAGCAGAGGAGAGAGAGTTAGCTTTAGCAGTGCGGAGAGTCTCCGTGACACAGAGAAGAGCAGTCTCAGTTAACGCCGGGGGAAAGCTTGTAAGCTGCAATCGCCGGAAGTTATGTATGCCAGCTGATGTTAGCCATGATAAGGCTTCTAGTCTAAGCTAGGCTAGCTAGCCTCTTTGACCGCAGCACGGTCCGTTTAGAATAACCAAGCAATTTACGCTAACTATGTATACTAAACAAGGGAGCTACCCAAGCAATTCCACCGATAGGAATAGCAGCAGTAGCTAGCTTGCCTCGGCAAGTTGGCTAACCTGGCTAGCAAGCTATGCAGCGCTTGTTAGCTAGCTTGGTCTCTAAAATCTACGTAGGACCGGATCACCAAGGTGGGATCCGGACCCTTCTGGGAAGAGAGTCAAGCGGTGCTTAACCAAGGCAGACACAGGCAGCGGGGGGGATACCCACAGAACCTGGTCGCCCTCTCTCTTCGAGTAGCCTCCCCGTAACCGGAGACAACATACAGGAGCCTGGGAGACATCCCTCAATTTAGACTCAACTGAGGTATGGACACCTGGGAACAGTGTTGCCAACTCCTCAGTAAGGAAAGTAGCTATTGGCTGTCCTAAAAGTCGGAATAACGTTGTGGGAGAGACAAAAAGTGAGTGAAAAACACCCTACATTTACATGAATGTAAGCCAGGGCGGGTTCAGCCAGTGGTGGCTTCCCGCATGCGAGATTCATTTGCAGTCTGGACCCGGAGGGGTGAACATCTCCTGCTCTGACTGCAGCTGGGAGGGAGTGCTGCGCGAGGGCCGCCTGTGAGTGCTTTGGGACGGGGGTGGGCACGGCAGCACCCCGCTGCTCGTTGAGAAGAGTAAGAACGATAGGTGATTTCATGTCAGTCTCCAATAACACCAGAAAAAGTAGCTAGATTTGTCGCTAGTCTCTTTTTTGAAAATGTGTCGCTAGAGGGGTCTGAATATTCGCTAAATATAGCGACAAAGTCGCTAAGTTGGCAACACTGACACCAAGCCCCCTAAAGAATGCTACACGATTGTCAAGAGAACCTGCGTCGCGGACTAGTATGGGAACAGTGCCAGCCGTCCCCTAGTCTCGCACACTAACTGATTGGAGCGAGGGCAGCCTGAGCATGCGCCGAGACATACAAGATGACAAACGTGAGTGTCTTTTAATTCATAGGGGCATGGTTCCGAACCCAGTTTATTAGTGTAACCCCTCGATTCTTGGCTGTCGCTACTTTGCAGGACTGATACGCACACACAGGATCATCGGGTTCAGGCAAGTGTCCCGTTTATTATAGTCTGGCAATAAAGCACACAACGTAGGTGTCCGCCAGACTCATAAATGA